CCTCATCGGCCCAGACATCAGGGAAGGTGCATATGGGCAGGACGGACGAAGAGAAGCCCAGAATGTCTTCCTCCACTTCGTCCTCCAGGACATTAGGTTTGCCTGTGGTAAGGTACATACTGTAGCGTCGCAACTGTTCCATATCATTGCTGTCCTCTAAGGCCCAAGGTGGCAGACGCGGCCTAATCCAGCCCATTTTAATGGCGTGAGTGATGCGGCCTACCTGTAAGCGTAAAATAATGTCAATTTTACTGACAGGTCACAGTATTCCCTGACACCAATTTCATGCGCATGCATGATACGTATAAATGTGTCCTGGAAAACCGTCGGCAAATACCATCAATTAAATTTACTAAGACTACATTTACTCAAGTACCACTGAGTGTCAACCGGGGTGCGGCGATGATTTTCATTTTGTGAAACAGACATGAGTGATAAGTAGGCAGAATCTGCTTTTTGTAAAACTGCGGTAACCGGGCGATAAACCTGAACGCCGTTAGGAAACAAAATGTGTTAACCAAATGTCCACTTATTCCAAACTTTCAAAATAGTAAATCTTAAAGTTCACTAAAGTTTTTCACCAGAAAGGGACACATGCAAAGCATAAGCATGAATATAGTCTAGGAGATATGCCTACCAATGGGAAAAAAATTGTGAATTTTACTTCCAACTCGAGATATGAAAACTAGCTAGGTATGCTATAGTCATTTAGTCATGTGTATGTTAGGTTAAAAACAAAATCTCATACCCGCCGTCGGTCCAAAAGTGAAGGTATAAATGAGCGTTTCTGTGGTGGATGGGCGGTAACAGGCATCTGGAGAACGTCACCTGAAAAGAAATCATCCCATGGCTGTACAACGATAAACACAAGTAAAGAGCAGAAAACCTGATAAAGGTCGTCTTCTTTATCCCCAAGTACGCCCTTCCCGGAGCTCATGCGCGTAACAATCTCCAAATCACGATCACTAAGGACAACAGCCTGACCGGTTCGTGGATCTATGACGGTGCGCCATTCAGAACCTTCTTCACCATTCTCGGTACTCGTTCCTTGCAGAAAACTTGAAATTGCGTCCTGTTCTCCCGTTTTAGAGCCTGGCTTCATGATTGGCCGACCAGACGAATCATATCCGACATGGGGAAAAGAATCGTACCAATGCATTGGCACGTTTCCCACAGTATTACGGATATCCTAGAGAACGTATAAGAATGATACAAATGCCAACCTCTTCATCTGAAGAGTCAAAGTCATATTCATCTCTTCGACCTCGACGGTCAATAGCGTCAGACATCATCCTGCCCGAAGAAACGTGAAAAATGCTTGAGCAGAGAGGCTACACACCAATATTTTCAGAAGTGTCACAGGCCACAAAATTGCAAAGGAATAATTGGCATTTTCAACGTCTAGTCCAAATCCATGGGCTTTTGAATAAAAACTGCTACATTCTTTAAATACCAGCACGGTCAATTTTGATCAAAAGGCCCACACAGGAACGAAAATGTGTGTTCCAGAAATTAATTGCGCCGAGGGAAACATGATTATGGATCAAGCCATTATTTCACCTGCCAGTGCGGATTAATAATACCTATGATAATAAAAAGGTATGGGCTCTTGGCTCAACTTC